TTGCAGTTGTTGTAGGCACCCCAGCTCTGTCTGATGCTCCAGGAAGATGGGCAGAGAGTGCTTTCCCAGCTCTGGGCAACGGCAGGTATTTAGCCCTGCAGGGAAGATGGGGCCTCCGTGGGAGAAGGTCTGAACGGAGGTGTCTAGGCTTTATCACTATCCTGGGCAGGGCTGTCACAGGTTGAATTGTGGCAGCAAGATCCCCAGTCTTTCCTGAGTACCTCCTTGTGGCCAGTTCTTTGCTAGGTGCTTTGGAGAAACTGAAGATATTGGAAGAATAAATGGGCAGACGGACGAGTCCCAATCTCTGGGAGTACAAAGTCAACATCCCAGAGGCTGGAGATGCATGGATACTCAAGAACCCCCACCCCTACCATACTTTCCATCTATCATGCATGCATCCGTACACAGGAATATATGCATGTGCTCATGTTCCCATGCATCCCCCCCATATGTATTTACACACCTATTCACACATTTATTTTAGAACAAGTTTCCCGAGTCTTGTGCAAGCTATGGCTTGGGCCAGTGTCTGTCCCATTTGGGGCTTGGCCCCTCCTCTCATCTCCCCTGAGGCAGGGGTTGCCTGGATGATCTCTCAGAAGTCCTGTTTTCCTCCTCCCAGCCTTGCCTTATGCAGCAGGGGCCCCCCCAGGGCAATAACATCATCTTCCTGAGCCTCTGTTTCCTCAATCTGCAAATTGGGGCTAATGATCCCCACCCTGCTTACCTCACAGGGTGTCACCAAGCATTCCCATGAGATAAAGGACAACAGAGTGTTTTGTAAACTGCAGATTGTTTTCCAAACAGCCGACTGCTGTCATTTTCCCAGCTCTGAACTTAGAAATTCTTCCATCTTCAAGTGAGGTCTGGTTTTAGTAGCACAGAGGTGGTGAGGAGTCCTGACTGTTCCAAGGCTCCATTCCCCTCTGCGCTAAACTTTTGCTGAGGCTTCTTGGCTGTGAGTTCAGCAGGGGCCCTAGCCATCAAGCTGGCAGCTCTGGAGCAGCTGAGAGAAATTGGCAAAGGAGGGTGAAGGGAGAAGGGAAGGTGGAAAACCATGTATCAAAAGCTGATTCCAGGGGCTGCGGATTTAGCTCAGTGGCACAGCACCTGCCTGGCAAGTGCAAGGTCATGAGTTCGATTCCTGGTACCGGAAAAAACAAAGAAACAAACAAACAAAAGACAAAAGAAACATACTTTATAAAAGCTGATTCCAACAAAAATGTCATTTGTTTAAGAAAATGTCACCTCAATTTTTTTCTCACTGAGCCACAGTAGGTCCATACATCTACTACAGTCAGGAACCTTCTTGCTTGGGAGAAACCCAAGGTTAATGTGTCAGGGTGCACCTGCCTGTTGAGTACTAGTAGGAGCTGTAGAGCTTCCACAGACTCTACAGCTTTGGTGGACCCCTGGAGAGCTCAAGAGACACTGGGTCAGAAGCAGGCAAGTACTGGCATGGAATCTGTTTGTCATAAGTTCCTCCCTTACTCTTCTTGTCTTTCCAGCTGTGACTGGGGACCAAGGTGCTACTGCCCATAACAAGTAGCACCCTTTGGCTCAGGTATGTAGATAGAGAGTCCATGGAAATACAAGGGCTGTTCCACCAGGGTGGTGTGGTAGGCGTACATACTGCAGCCACTTTGCAAAGACCCCCTGGTGCTGTGAATAGGGGTAGAACCTGAGCCTCCTCGACCCTATGCTCATTCCTACACCTAGGAAGATGGAGCTTTTGTTTGAGGCCACCTTTTGTGAAGGATAGTGTGAGGTCATGTCGTACCTGCATGAGTGAGGCCCCCTAGCAATGCCTGGTGGACTGGAGCAGTCCTGACGCAGGATCTCGCCTTTGTTGAGCCTGCCAGGTCGCCTCTGCAGGTTAGTCTTATCTTGTCCCCCTGATGCACTGTGAGAGTTTCTTCCCCTCCCCTCCTCCAATCTCCTGGCACCCTCCTCAGGGTGCCAGCCTAGCTGGAGAAATACCCGTGTGATCAGGAACCAGTTAGTTATTCCCCCCTGTGCCTCAGTTTCTCATCTTAAAATAGTGATAATGAAGTCCTTTGTCCTGATACTATAACATGCTCTACACAGAGCAAGGCGCATGGAGAGCATAACCCACTCCCTCCTCTCTATCTGTGTGTGTTTGTTTTAAGAGTTAACGAAGGAACAAGCTAATTGTAGGTTGTGAGCGAGGGCTGCACAGAAGGTAAAAAGGGTGATGACGTGGGAGCTTTCTGGGGAGCTAGGAATGTTTCCCGTTTTGATGGGGGTGTGGGTCCTGAGATGTGTACAGTTGTCAGAGCTCATTGAGCTGTGAACCTTGTGCATTTTATTTTAAATTATACCTCAGTAAACAAACAGAATATATATAAGAAACAGGGTGAAGGGACCCTTGTGGTCTTTTTTAGACCAGGTGGTCGGGGGAGGCTTCAGGAAGGAGGTGACATCACGGAGAGTCCTGGAGGAAGAGGAAGATCTGGCTGTGGAGAAGGAAGATGGGGAACCTGCGGCTTTAAGAGAGCGGAGGCTTTATGGTCAGGGTCATTTAGGGGTTAACAGTAATGGCTCAGGGGTTTTCTTGGCAGCTGGGCAGGAGCCGGCTTAGGTCCAGGCCTCAGTCCTGTGGTCTCCTCTGCAGAGGGTGGAGGAAGTATTTGTTGTGTTTCTGAGGAAGCCTTCTCCCTGTCCTGCGCTTGTTCTCGGGGCTGCCTTGGCACTCGAGAAGGACTATTTAATCCATGTGGGGATGGGCTCCTAACCCGTGGGGTGCGCGGGGTCCAGGACATGGGCCAGCTCCAACTCGGGGCTGCTGCACCTTCTCCTGCAACTCAGCAAAGCACAGATGAAAGTCCAGCTCTGCGGCTCTCTGGTCCTTCCATGGCCATCTTCCTTCCCCCTTTCCTCCCTTCCACACCTGTGTTCGCCGTGAGGCCTCAGCCAGGGACACCCCGCCAACCTGCCCCTCTTGCTGCTCCCAGCTTTGCTGGAGGAACAGAAGCAAGAACTAGGAGAGGTAGCAGGACTTTCCAGAGGCAGAGACCTCTGGACTGTGCCCAGAAGTTTCCTTAAAAAGAGGAAGCTGAGCCAGTGGAGGACGGGACAAGAATCACGCGGTCGTGGCCGACTCAGACACTTCGAGGGTGAGGCCTGCTTGGGAAGCGCAAGTGGGTCATTCTGGCCAAAACAGAAGGTATTTTGGGGAAGTGAGGAAATGAGGTGGGAGGAGAAGGCCAGCCCGGACGCCGGGAGGACACGGGAGGAGGTCTCTGTGTTCCAGGTGGAAGAGGCAGGGCGAAAGCTCCCACGAAAGCCTGCAGCTGCAGACTGGAGGGTTATGAGAGAGGAGAGAGGAGTCTGGTGTGGGCATGAGATGCCAGACGGCAGCCAAGTCCGGAGGGGCCAGGAGCCGGCTTGGGTAGATTGCCAGAGGTGGTCAGGTCAGGCCAGGGAGCAGAGGAAGAGGGCGCGGGGGTTAGGAGGTGAAGGAGAAAGTCTGTGGGGAGGGAGGAGGCTGCATCTTGGGTCCTGCGGCTCAGGTCTGAGACGCGCCGGCTGAAGCCCCTCGGGACAGGGTGGACGTGGGCTGCCGAGTCAAGGGGTGGCTGAGCCCTCTGCGCCCGGTGTGGAGAGAGAGACGCTGGCGCTGGGCTGCTGTGTGGGCAGGGACCTCGTGGGTGCCCTTCGGCACGGGCGCTGTAAGCAAGGCCCGCCGTGTCCAGGCCGTGCCGCTGTGCCCAGCCCTGGGCTGAGCGACGGTCGGGTCGAGAACCTGAACGGAGATCCTGACACCTGCTGCCCAGCGCCTGCCTTGCTGTGACGGGTCTCCTGGGGGCGACTGCGTGTGACAGGGTTGTGGGCTGCAGCTTGGTGCTGTGCTGCTTGCGTGAGGTCACACTGAATCACTGACGGATTCAACCTGAACCCCACTCCACTCCACCCAGGTGTCATCTCCTTCCCTGGAGTCCTCCCGGCGCTGCCCGGCTCTACCTCTGAGTCCTCACCTGGGGACTGCCGGCAGGGCATGAGGGTGCAGCCTTGGGAGCCGTGTCACCTTGAGTGGCCCCATTTCCCTAGCAGTGAGGATGGCATTTTCCTACCTTCCCTGCACAGCAGCTCCCGGGGAGGCTACAGAGTTACCTTGGAAGCAGAAGACTGGGAGGTCATGACCAAGCAACTCATTTTAGAAGCACTTTTCTCAGTAGTGTCAGTTTTATTCATGCACCCACTTCTGGAGAGTTTGAAGTCTTAATTCCTTTCACTCCTGCAGGAGTACAGCCTTGTCTGCCTCCACTTGGGACTGGTCCCAGAGGGACGGACAGGTGGACACAGGCCTCACCCTCTACTCTGGAAGTCTTCCTCTGGCTCCAGCAAGTTCCTGGCCATGCTGAGACTTTGAGCAGATGTGCATGCCAGTCCCCTCCCCCAGCTCCCACCCTGCCCCAGCCTTTCCGCACAGCCTCCACATTCACACGGAGGTGCAGGACAAGGATAGGATCGTGGGCTGGGGTCCCTGAGGACCTAGCGTTTACTGGGTGCCATCCTGTACACTTCCCATATACAGCTTCCAACCCTGGCCTGAGAAATGGGACAACCATATCATCCACACTGTCAGAATGAGGCCTAAGGGATATATGCTCCCTGGCCTGGGTCCCATGGCTGATGTGTGATTTGACTATAAACCCCACTTGACTTCCACTTTATTTGTTGCCCCTAAGAAGGAAGCAGGGTGTTCTCTGGCCTTGGAGCCCCTCCAGCCTGGCAGCTACCTCTCACGGATTCCTGGAGTTACTGACCAAGATGCTTAGACCCAGAGCTGACCCTCAAGCCCAGAGAGTCATAGGCCACAAGGCAGGGAAAAGTGGGCTGAAGTCTTCATTCTGTTCCTCACAAGCTGTGTGTCCTTTGGCAGGTCACAGGCCTCTCTGAGCTTCCATGTCATTGTCTGCAAAGTGAAGGCAGCAGGCTGTGAGGCTGATGCGCTCTCTGTCACCCACTCACAGCTCCTGTACGATAGTCCCAAGGCCCGGCAGGAGGTGGACCACCATTGGCAGGCCTCGGGGGGCCCCCACATCGTGCGCATCATGGACGTGTATGAGAACATGCATCACGGCAAGCGCTGCCTGCTCATCATCATGGAATGGTACGCTGCCTCCCTGCCGTGGTGCCCCTTCAGCTTCCCTGTGTGCCAGGCTCCCTGCCAGTCTTCTAGGGCTTGCTCTGTTCTTCAGATAGCAGGTCTGGGTACCACACAGCCCCTGAAGGATGGCAGAGTGGTAGCCACAGGGACTCCCTGAGGGTGGGAAAGAGACTGCACAACTCTCCCATGCCCTCCCTGGGCACGATTTTTCTTCTGTGAGGAGGGCTGGGAGAGCTGCCAGAGAAGGCTGCCAGGCCCTGGACTTCTGGGTAGCGGGCTTGAGGAAGAGTGTGCCCCGCAAGGTTCCCTCGGCTTTCTCCTTCCTGCTGTGTTAGCGCTCCCACGGTCCCACCAGATGCCAAGTGATGAGGCCGAGGGCCCGGAGCTAGCAGCCTCTTCTGTCTGGGCTTCTGCCACCGGCTGGCGCTTGCGCCTCTGACCCAGCCTTCCTCAGACCCTAGGGCCCTGCCTGGGCTTCCCTTCCTCCCTGTCCTTCAAGCCTTCCTGTTCCCACAGTTAGGCAGCTTTTAGAGTTGGGGTTCAGATCCCAAGTCTGTTGCCCACTGGCTGTGTGACTGCGGGCAGCCCCTAGCCTTTCTGAATCTCTGTCCCTCACATGCGAGACGTGGGAGATCTTCAAGCGGCTTTCGCTCTGAGCCTGTCTCTGTTCAGAGTGCCCACGTGCGTCACATAGTCAGTGTTCATCAGCCTGTGAGGTTGGTGCTGTTATTCTCCTTTTACAAAAGAGGTGTCTGAGGCACAAGCGGTGAGGGAGCCAGTCCAGGCTCATACAGCAGCGCACGTGACGGGCAGAACCCAGGGCATGGTGTACAGTAGGCGCTCGGAGAGCAGCGAGACATTATGGTGATGACCGACGTCTCACTCCACATTTAGGGACATAGGCTTGGGCAGGGTGGGGACGCCCTAAGGCCTCACAGTCAGGTGAAGGCAGTGCCCCTGGGAAGCGAGGGGCTTCCTGGTAAGAGTCTTAGCTTACCACCTCCCTTGGTTCTAAAAATTCAGGCCAACCCACCCAAGCTGGCAGCCCACTGTGCACCAGATTCTCCAAGGCACAGAGGGGCTGAGAGTGGCTGAGGAGCAGTAGGGCCTGGAGGCAGGGTCTCTGAGCCAGGGCAGGGGCGGTGGGTGTCGCATGTCCCTCTCTGTTCCTAGTCATCTTCTCTTGCAGCATGGAAGGCGGTGAGCTGTTCAGCAGGATTCAGGAGCGTGGTGACCAGGCATTCACTGAGAGAGGTACGTGCAGGAGCTCAACCAGCGCAGGGAGCCAGGGCGAGACGGCTGCGCCAGTGTCGCTGTGTGAGCCTGGGCAAGGCCCTGTCCCCTCCGTTTCCATCAGCACAAGAGAGGGCAAGACAGATTGTTCTGTCCCTCCCAGGGCTTCAAGGAATTTGTGACACCTTCTTGGAGACACGGTCTCTGTGGCCCTGGGAGCCTCTTGGTCCGAATCCACTGTGGTGCTGGGCAAGGCAGCTTAGGCTTGAAGAAAGAGGCCCAGTGGGCTGGGAGCATCCTAAGTGGAGACTGGGGTGTCTGGGGTGGGGGTCTAGGGCGGAGTCACAGGACTGTTGTCATCGTGTACTGGCTTGCCGGGTCATGGCCAAGAGAGAGGATAGGGTGGGGCCCGCAGGTTGCCTGCCCTGTGACGGGCATCAGTGACCTCCCCCATCTGTGTCTGCAGAGGCTGCAGGGATAATGCGGGACATTGGCACTGCCATCCAGTTCCTGCACAGCCGGAACATCGCCCACCGAGATGTCAAGGTGAGGCTCCGGACGCCGGCTGGGGGCCGGGAAGGAGGCTTATGTTACTCTGTGGCTTCGCATGGCCCCAGCGTGCCCTGGATGGAAGCCAGGCTCCTCAGTCAGCGTTCAGAGCCTCTGCTCCCTGCTCAGACTCTCTTCAGCCCCTGCTCCTGCGGCTCCCGCACGCTCATTTTGCTCTGCCAGATGGACCTTGTTGTTTCCTCTGAACACGGTAATCCTGGTAGTAATAAGAATAACCGAGTGCTGGCCTCTGGCCAGCAGACAGTGACAGCATCTCATTGAATGCTCCCCTGGCCCTATGAGATAGGGACCACTACCCATTCCACAGATGAGCAAATTGAGGCAGAGAGCGAGAGAGTCAGAGAGACAGAGACAGAGATTGATTAAGTTGCTTGCCTAAGGTGTGCGGCGTGGGGGTCCATCCATCTACCCACGTCCTCAGCAGGGTATTTTGTGACCCTGCAGTGTGCCAGGGCTCAGGCAGGGGCTGCCTAATGCTGTTGAGCCTTCTGCGGATTCAGAGTTCTAGTTTTAGCAGATTCAGCCTTCAAACACTAGCCTTTCAACAGAAAGAATACAATACTCAAGTAGGCCCAGTTGTTGGATCTGTTTGCCTTCCCAGGAATATTCTGGAAGCTCGGTGTTTTAATTTCCTCTCCTGGGCAGATGGGATGTTCCCAGGCAGCCCTACATGTACACGCACACACGTGCCCACATAAACATACATGTGTGAGCCACCATCGCACCAGAATCTGCCCCCTGTGGTCCCTCCCGAGGCCCGGAGCATTGTTCTCCGTAGTCTGAGGCAGAGGAGAGCTGAGGGCGACTGCCGCGTCCTTCCTTTGGCCGAGGGGTCCCGACCCATCCCGTTACCCTGTCACTCGGGATACATGTGCAGCCACAGCAGCCCCACCTTCTGAATCCTTGCTTTGCTTTGGCCGTGGCTTCTCTTTTTCCTAAGGGGAGAAAAACCTTCTGTAGAGCAGATGCCTTTGTCAACACTAAACCAGCTTCTCTATTTTTATCCCAGTCCAAGGTCACATTGTCTCAAATAGAACCTGAGAATGGAGTTCCATCCAATACCCTGCAGAGCTTGGGGCTCCCTCCGGTACCTTAGCATGGGCCTCAAGCCTACGCATTCCTTAAAAGCCAGCTTTGGGGCTGCTTGTTCCACGGAGCTCTCCCCACCGTCCCTGTTGCCAGGCTCATCTGTACTTCGCAACTACTAGGAGCTGCGTCTGTGCAGGGTCTGAGCAGCAGGGGCCTTCTCCCCCGGGCAGCCGCAGGTGGGGCTGGCCTGCTGGCCTGGCAGGCTTCTTTCACCGCTGGGTGTGGGACATGTGCTTGGCAACAGTACTGGCTTCCGAGCAGTCTGCCTCTCCATAACCCTTGCTCTGGTGTTTCGTGCCAGCCTTACCAACTTAGGATCACAAGTTCCTGGCTCTGTGTGCTGCATGGCACGTGGTCATTCACAGCCTTAGCCCAGTACCTGCCTCACTTTCCCCTCTGTGGATGTAGATGACATCTCCCAGGCACCTGGGCCTCTCTACATTTGGGACATGTTGTCAATGGCCAGGGCCCAGGGCTTTTATGAGATAGATGGGCCTTGCTTTTACTGGTGGAAAGTCGATGAAGACTGCCTTGGGGTTCTGCCCCTCTCTGGTACCTAACTAACTCCACACACGTTTTCTCTTCCTTGCCCAGCCTGAAAATCTGCTCTACACATCCAAGGAGAAAGACGCTGTGCTTAAGCTCACTGACTTTGGCTTTGCCAAGGAGACCACCCAAAATGCCTTGCAGACACCCTGCTACACTCCCTACTATGTGGGTGAGTCTTTGGGACATGGTTTGTAGCTCCCTACCTGCACCATCCGCTGCTGCGCTCCAGGGCAGCCCGAGAGTTGTGGAAACCGGAGGGTTAAAGCCGAGAAAGGAGGGAGGGCAAACTGTCTGTATGGAGGCGGGTGACGTGGGGGGCCGGAGGCTGCAAAAATATTCTCCCAAACTTCAGCTTCTGCTTTTGAAAATAGATCCAGGAAAATTCTGGCTGTGGCCTGTGAGCTGAATGACATCACAGCAGCTCTAAATATATATGTGATAAAAGGCTGCCATCAGCTTGGGACAAAGCCCAACCGGTTGTTTTTCTCTGGTTTTCAGCTTCCTGGGAGTCATATGCAGAAAGTAGGCAGGCCTTTCCCCCTACATTAGAGGGAGGCAGGGTACGAGTCACCTGCTTTGTGGGAGAGGGAGCCAGGACCGGGGGTGGCTGGGGTTTGTATGTATTCATACTCGTGCTGACAGCTATGCTCCAAGCAGTCCCTAGATCTGCAAAGGCCTCTGGTGAAAGTACCCCTTACCCTCGAGCTGTTGCTGAAAGGGCTTTTCTTCAGGAGAGGCCTTGAGGGGCTGCTGAAGGGGAGGGAAGCCCCTGAGACAGCTGAAATGGCACCCTGTTTGCTAGGATGAATGTTGCAGTATTTTAACCTAGAAATATCCTGGCTTGCTGACCTCATTGCACAGATGGGAAGACCGAGGCCCAGTGGGTTGATCCCCAAGCTGACAGTGGAGTGCGGAGCCCTGCTCCTGGCTCCTCCTTGCCTGTGACTTCTTTGTGTTCAGGAGGCAAAGGACAGAGGGCCCTCTTGCCTATGGCAGCCCTCACCAAGCTCTGGACTGGCCTCTGCCACTCTCTGTCCTCGCCAGAGCCAAGACTGGCAGAGGGGCTCAGGGTTCATAGGAGCAGGGGGCTGTCTGAAAGCAACTTACTTTTTCTGGGAGCTGTTCCTTCTCCCCGGTGTCACACACGTGCTGCTTCTCAGAAGGTGCCAGACAGCAGTCTGCTGTGTCCCACCTCCTAGCTCAGGCACCTGCTCCTCACTTTGATTAGGCTTCAGGCTCTTGCCTAGGCCTAAGACCCTTGAGGCTGAGAGCCCTGCTATGCCTTCCTCCCTGGCAGCCCCTGAGGTCCTGGGTCCAGAGAAATACGACAAGTCCTGTGACATGTGGTCCCTGGGGGTCATCATGTACATCCTGTGAGTACCATGTCACTCCCCTCCTTGGCCTCCTGCCTCCACCCATACCATGTATCTTTAGTACACTCTGCTCCCCAACCCCATGTCCTTAGAGCTTGTGTGTGTCCCTCCTTGGGCAGGTTGTCCTTCCTTTCTTGTCACAAGACTCCATTCCTTCCGGCTGCCTGAGAGTGATGGTGTTTCTGGGCTATGCCAGGCAGTCCAGAGGGCTGGTACATTGCCATGGTATCTGGCTCCTCAGTGAGGGGCTTGGGTGAAAATGGGTCTGCCCAGGCACTGCCCCCTGTCCTTACGCTGAATGACCTCCTCCCTCCCCCAGCCTGTGTGGCTTCCCACCTTTCTATTCCAACACGGGCCAGGCCATCTCCCCAGGGATGAAGAGGAGGATCCGCCTGGGCCAGTATGGCTTCCCCAATCCTGAGTGGTCTGAGGTCTCTGAGAATGGTGAGTGAGCCTTGTGCCTCCTGTAGCCCCTGTGGGCCTCATTCTGGGAGACATCCCTTTGGAGCAAAAATGACCTGTGTTCCTAGTTGTGTGACCCTAGGCAAGTCACCCAACCTTTTCAAGCCTCAGTTTTTGCATCTGCCAAATGGGCTTAAAACTTGCTTCCTAAAACTCCCCTCTAACTTCTGTTCCTCATTCACATTTTCCTAGCTGGGGACCACGAACAGGTTTGCATTGTATTAGTTACCTATTAACAAATTATCCCAAACACTTAGTGGTTTAAAACAGGAAATAGTTGTTAGCTTGCTGTTTCTGCAGGTTAGGAACATGGTAATATATGTAGCCCTGGGTCACAAAATTTGTGCTCCGTGGGGAGCTGCGACCTCATTGCCCTCCTCTCTTTCTTGGTCCCTCTAGCCAAACAGCTGATTCAGCTACTGCTGAAGACAGACCCTACAGAGAGGCTGACCATCATGCAGTTCATGAACCATCCCTGGATCAATGTGAGCATCCACAGCCAGCAGGATGTTGAGCTGGAGCAGAGCTGCCAGCCAGGAGGGTGGTGGCTCTGGGATCTGCGCTATAGTGCTGAAATGGGCCCCGAAACACGTGCGTAGTAGCTCCCCAGCTACAGCCTGGTGTTGCTACTGCTCCAGTCAGGCTTCTTCACCTCCCTGAGCCTTGGTTGCCCCTGAGACTGGGAGGGGTGGGCAGGTTGGGGGTAGCCGGGGCTGTTGCCCATGCCTCCAGACTCTAATCCAGGCGCTTGGGGATCCTTCTAGCAATCGACGGTGGTGCCACAGACTCCACTTCACACGGCCCGAGTGCTGCAGGAAGACCAAGACCACTGGGATGAAGTCAAGGTGTGTAGGCTCTGCCTCAGTCTCTGCAGTTCCAGGGGTATCAGTTCCCGCGCGTCTGGATATTTGACCACTGGGATGAAGTCAGTGTGTAGACTCTGCCTCAGTCTCCTTGAAGTTTCCAGGGTGGCAGCTCACCAGAATCTGGGTGTTCGGCTCCTCCTTCGTGCCTGGAGCACAGTGTGTCAGTGGCTGCCCCAGTCATCTGCACATGGCACTCCAAGTATTGGGCTGTACCACTCAGAGTGGTGCTCCTGGTTCATTCCCTCAACGAATAGGGCTTTGGGCCCAAGCGATGGCCCCCCTCCCTATCTTTTGACGTAGAAGATGCCGTGTTTGGTCGTATGGGATAGCGACTAAGACCCTGGGGTACCCAGGGTGCAATCTCCAGGCTCAGAAAGATGGCATCTCTGCAGTCTTTGTGGTTCTGAGCAAAGGGCACTGGGTCGGCTGTCTGTCTCACTTACGCTTGGTGTGATTACAGGGCGTTACTACTTTTCTGTGCCTGACTGGGTAAGCTCAGCTGCTGCCGCTAAGGAGTTGGGGAGGACTATGAGGCACAAAGGGCCAGGCACCGTGGGCGAGGGGGCAGCACGACCTGTCGCTGTCGTGGCTGAGGGTTGCCCCCTCGGAGGATGACGGCTGTCAGGGTCGGTTCACCTTGACCTCTTTGTCCTCTATGCCATCTGTCCTCAGGAGGAGATGACCAGTGCCCTGGCCACCATGCGGGTAGACTATGACCAGGTGAAGATCAAAGACCTGAAGACTTCTAACAACCGGCTCCTCAACAAGCGGAGAAAGAAGCAGGCGGGCAGCACCTCAGCTTCACAGGGCTGCAATAACCAGTAGCCCACAGGGCTGTGGAGGAGCCAGGCTTCCAGCCTGGGTGACGGACTGCATCGTGCTGAGGCTGCACCAGAGGGCTCAGGGGCATTCTTTTTTTGTTTGGTTTGTTTTGTTTTCTGAGATGGGGTCTCACTGTGGAATTCAGGCTGGGCTTGAACTCACTGTGTAGCCCCGGCTGGGCTTGAGCTCACTGCAGTCCTCTTACCTCAGTCTCTGAGAGCTGGGATTACAGGTGTGTGCCACCACACCTGGCAGGGTTATTATTTTGTTGTTTTTTATGTGGAGCTTTGAGTTGGAAGACCTTGACCCAAAATCTTCAGAGCACCAGCTTAGACTCTGGCCCGAGAGAGGGGCAGAGCTTAGGGGCTGGGGAACCCCTGCTGAATGGAAGCACTTTTGGCAGGTGGGACATGTTCTGCTCTGCCCTGGGGCATGACTTTAGCTTTCCAGGCCACTGGGAATTGTGACTGAGTTTCCCTTCTTCAAGGGAGACCCTCCCTGCTGGGTGGGCAGAGAGGCTTGGCTCTGAGAAGGCATCTGGCCATTGGTTGCCATGGTGATCAGGGACAACCTTGGTCCCGGAATGCTGAGTATGTAACGAGGGAGGAGGGACAATCAAGAGTCTACCTCTGTCTTCTTGGGGAGTCCGGTCTTGCACTGGCTGCCTCCCTCAAGCTCACCCCTCTTTGGTCTCCCTGAGCTGCAGGTCTAGCTTGCCTACCTCTTTTGGTGGTCTAGCCCTGCCTTGCTGCAGCCTGAGTCCAGATGGCACCCGGAGCTTTCGCTCAGGTGTCCCTGGGCCAGCCGTCCTATCACTACCCACTGTGCAAAGGGTGGTTTCTCATCTCAGCCAAAGGTGGGGGTATCTTTAAGCCTTTCCCACTTTGGAAAAATGTCACTGTGGCAAAAGACCCCAGCCCCACCTCACCAGATCTGCCCTCACCAAATCCCAGGTAGGAAAGCCCTTCTGCTGATGGCAGGGGCTGTGCATCGGTATACTTTTGCGAGAGGGTATAGCTGGATTCCCAGGCATCTCCTTCCATGTTCTAGGTCAGCCCTGAGGTGGTAGAGGGCTGCTGAGCTGTACTCAGGAAGTCTGATCCTGGTTTCAGCCTGAGCTGGAGCAGAGAGGGCTCTTCCTGGCTGATTCAGGGTCATCCAGCTCCACCCCACCTGGAGCATACTTGAGGTGTTTAAGTACTTGACAGGGGGCCTGACAAGTGCCTCACCCTCGGTCTAGTTCTTGGTTCCTGGCTTCTCTCACAGGCTGGGAAACCCTAGACCAGAGAAGGTAAACCTTTTAGACCTTTCTGTGGTACAAACAACCTGCTGAGGTGTGTGTGCCATGGGTTCACCACCACCGTTCTAGACCATGTCAGCCAGGACAGTGCTGCCTGCCAGGTTTTATATCCAAATATTAATAAACACTATTTTGACATTTTCTCCTGGTTTCTGAGCTTCTCTTTGTCTACATGGATGGACAAAAGTGGCCAAAAGGCAGCTGTATGCCCCTACTCGTGATTTCACTCTGGCTGGAGAGGGTGCCTCAGGTCTGGTAAACATGCCCGGCTGACTCCAGAGCCACTGCAGCCTCCCTGGGCGTGGAAAGGTCAGGGAGTCTGAGGGATGGCAGCAGCCACATGCCCCAGCTCCGTGCAGCCCCTGTGCCCTGTATGTGTGACACCCACTCCCGGCCCTGTGTGTGCCGGCGTCTGCCCACAGTGGCCGCCCCCAGCTGTGTGCCAGCCTGCTGAAGGGCAGGCAGAGTGCCTGCTGCAGCACTGAGCTATTTTCAGAAGCTGCCAGATTTCATTTGGCAGTGAGAATATCGAGGAGGGGAGGGGGCGGGTGCTGGAAGGCTGTCTTTTCACTACTCCAGCAGGAGCACACCCTCACCACTTGGGAGCCCTTGCGGGCAGCCTCCAGGGAGCTCTCACTGTGGCATTTCTTCCCCAGCATCAGTCTCGAAACCTCCCAGTTTTCTAAGAGCTCACCGGGCACAGGCCTCGCTTCCCTCCCCTCCCCCAGGGTGTGGGGGGTACGGGTTGTAAGAAGCCGGAACAGCACTCAGGAAAGGTTTCGCTGCTTCCCAGCCCGGTGACCTTGGACAGGTCCTTCAGCTTCCCTCACCTCCACATTCTGGCCGTTCGTGTATTCAAGGTGAGGGCGCCGTCTCAGAGTCATCTGGGGGATTTGAGCAGACGAGGTAGGGGAAGCACTTAGCGGTTCATGGCTCGTGCCCAGCCCCCATTAACCACCCAGCATCTTTACCTGTCAGGAAGGAGAGTAACACCTAAAGTTGTCTGAAGGAAAAGCAGCCCACCCCAAATCTATCTCTAGGACTTCCTGCAGAAAACCAGGCCGTCTCCACCCACGGTGTCCCTCCCAAGGGCTTGCCCTCCAGGATAACATCGCGGGGGGCCTTCTGGGCCTCAGTTCTAGTCCTGCACGTCAAAGGAGGGTGAATTTGAGGCTCCCTGTGGACTCTGCTTCAGCCCAGCCCTTCCGTCTTGTTCTCTAAGTCTGGTGGAATGCTGGCCAGACTCCAAGATGCGTACAGTCCATCTAGTGACGGAGTTACAGGGTGCAGAGGGACCTTCTCACTTGGCTCTGAGCACCCACGGAGCCTGCGACTCCGTGCTGAGTGCAAAGAAAGCAGCAGTGAAAGTTTCAGACAGGCGTTTACCGGGAGCTTACACTCACGGAGCAGAGGACAAAACATTGCACAAATATCTTTTGAATTGTGACCTAGATATGGTCTGTGAAGGAAAGACATGGTCCTAGCAAGAAAAGGTATCATGGAGCCGTTTAAACCAAAGGGAGAGCTGATGTGCGCTGGAGGCCAGGCAAGTGCCTGATGGGACAGCTGGGCCCAGGGCCTCAGACTGCCTGCCCCTTGGCTCTGCCAGTTTAGGCTTCTCTCTGGGGCTGGCCTTGATCCCCCCCCCCCCGTACCAGCCTTCTCTATAGGCACGACCACAGCTGCAGAAGTCTTGGAGAATATTGTCATCTGATGAAGTACCCACCTGCCAGTCCCAAGGAAAGATTCTTATTGGTCACATTTGGCCCTTTGCTACTGGGGAGACAGCATGCCTCTTCCTGGGACCAGGTTGGAGAAGGCTGTTATGAGAGGGGAGATGATGGAAGGATTGCCCTCTTAGCTCTCATGTTTGCTTGGCCACTTCCAAGAGCTCATGAGGAATCTGGCCCCCATGAGAAGCCCAGCCTAGGGCCTAACCCCCTGATATCTGGCTTTAGATGAAGTTCTCACAAACTAGGACTGGGCGGTTAGGAGCCTGGCCAACTCATATTCTTTACTGGGAGCAAAGCCCTGACATCAGCTGCTGTCAGGTAGGCTAAGAAGCCAAGCGGCCACATGTTTACATCAGCTAAGCAAGGCATTTGCATAGGCTCGGTAGTGGCTTCCTTGGGAATTTGCAGTAAAGAATTCTGTAAGAGGTTTGTGTGTGTGTGTGTGTGTGTGTGTGTGTGTGTGTGTGGTACAGAGAGAGAGACAGAGCGAGTGAGAGAGCCGACTCTGTCCTCAGGACCTGGTGCTGGCTGACTTCCAGCAGCCTGGCTCGTTGCTATTCTGTACCAGCCCCTCTCCACCCTTGCCCTCTATTCAGCCCCTCCGCTGCAACATCAGAATTGAGCCTCAACATTCAGCTTACTGCAGCCTCTGCAGGAGTCTCAGTGCTTTCAGGCCTGCTTAAAACTTTCCCTAGTGGGCATGGGAGGTTGGCAGAGGGGCCTGTGTGGCTGTCTCCAGACCTGGCTGCCTTAGGCTGAGCTTTTGAATTCCTAATGGGTCCTCAGAGCTAGCTTCAAGCCCAGCAGGGTAAAATTCTTCCTTTTGTCCCACTGGCCTGCCAGCAGTGCTTACCCTTTGCAGTTGAGGTCAGCAGACAGGAAGCCCACCACCCACCTGTGTGTAGATGGGATGGAGTCATTTAGATTTACCTGAGTCCTTGCTCAAAGCTAACCTCATTTTGAGTTTCCCATCAGTAAAATTAAATGTCAATTAAAGAGGACCAGGTTGCCTGTAATCCCAGCGTTTGGGAGGCCAGCATAGGAGGGTCGCCAAGAGTTCAAGGCCAGCCTGGGCTACATAGCGAGTTCAAGGCCAACTTGAACTACATAGTGAGACCCTGTCTCAAAAACAAACAAACTCAAAACAGCAAATAAAAGAGAGGACCAGGTTATTCCAGCACCCTTGGCAGGTTTGTTGCCACCAGCCGACGGTCTGTGAAGAACGCGCTGGAGTCTAAGGAGGACCCCACACTTTGTAAGGCCTCAGTCTCCTTGCCTGAGGGAGGAGCGTTACTTACAAAGGTGGGGCAGGGGTATGGTGGAGCAAGAGCGGGGTAGAGCCTAAGGCCTTGGTTATCAGCTCGTGTTCAGCGTTGCACCCAGCTTCCCAGCACTATGCCTGTCCACCTTCTGTTTCCCCTGAGCTGGAGAAAGTTGCTGGTGACTCAAGGAAACCCGATTCCTGGGGCTCAGAGGAGCTGACAGCCAACCAGATAGGTTAATTGGGGTGTGGGGCCACCTGCTGGTCACCCGGGGAAGTATTCGGTGGACACCTACTATGTGCCCGTGTTTGAAGGAACTGTGGGGTTGGGGAGAGACCACCACAGCATAATGAACAGCTGCTGTTTCCCACATGCCTGCTGTGTGCCCTGACTGTGCTGTAGGTCAAGATGAGGTGGCTCGTCTTACTTAGCTCTCGTATTTTCATGTTTCAGACAACCCGAGCCCCAAGCTCTTAGTCATTGCCCTCTCTGCTAAAGGAGGCCAGAAAAAGGAAGTAGGGCCCAGAAAGCTCCCCAGATATGGTGACAGTGTGAACATAAAGGCAAGTCAGATTCAGAGGGACAAGATTTAGCGGAAGGGCACTGCAGCTGGCAGGTGCAGGCTGGAACAAGGTGTTCTGTGTGAAGAACTAAGAGTGAGTTTGTTCAACAGGTAAGAGGTGGCTACAGCAAGGGTGTCTTTCATTTCCTCCCCCCCTCCCTGCGGGAAGTCAGCGCAGGTGCTCAGGGCGAGAGAGTGGGCGCCTGGTGGCAGCTTCTCCCTCTTAGAGCCCTCAAGGCACTCGTGTGTGGTTTATTCCCCATTCTTACCACAGCCTCCGCTGGAGATACACCCAGCTTTAATG